AATCAATCGAACAACATACAAAACATTTAAGAATATTTAAAAATGTCATAAAAACAAATGGAATGGTAATATCACAAAAGAAAATAAAACTATCAAATTAACATGATAAACTTCAATTACAAAGATTTTTAGGATGTCTAAATTATGTATCAGAATTTATACCTAACATTAGAATATTAAGTAAACCCCTCTTCAATAAACTAAAGAAAAATCCTAAACCATGGACTCCAGAAATGACTAAAATAGTAATAGAGGTTAAAAGATTAGTAAAAACCTTACCATGTCTAGGAATACCAAACCTATAAGCCAAGATAATTATAGAAACAGATGCCTCTGATGTATAGTATGGAGGTATACTAAAACAAAAGTTAAACAATAACCCCGAACAAATAGTAAAATATTACTCAGGAATATGGAATGATGCTCAAAAGAATTACAGCATGATTAAAAAAGAAGTTTTAAGTATAGTGTTAAACATACAAAAATTTCAACATGATTTAATAAACAAATTTTTTTTATTAAGAATTGATTGTAAATCTGCAAAAGAAGTTTTGGAAAAGGATGTAAAAAACATAGTTTCCAAACAAATATTTGTAAGATGGCAAAATCTATTATCTTGTTTTGAATTTGAAATAGAATTTATTAAAGGAAAAGAAAATTCTATACCCAACTTCCTAACAAGAGAATTTTTGCAGGGACACACCCATGGCAACTCCCTCTAAAAGCCCAACCTCAGCTAAAAAAAGTAAAATAGAAAAAGGCCCAAAATCTTCTACCTTGTCCTTAGATGACTTTGCCCCATCATATTCAAAGACCATGACCACTCGAAAACTTCTCATCTCAATAACCACTCAACCTAATAGATTCATCCCTGTAACACCACAAATCCCTCAAAATTCTCCCCTTGAAAAACCTCCTAAAAAGGAATTTCATATCAAAGAAGGATTCCAAAAGATTATCACTTTAGAAGAAGACTGGAATCCCAAAGATGTTTATGGAATACTCAGGAAACTAGCTCCGCCAGGATGGAGTTGGATTCCTAAGTCAGAAAATTTGAAAAAGAATAAAAAGTTTTATCAATTTATTCTAATAGACACGAGATCTACTGAAATAACCCTCATTCCTAATGATAGAGATCCCTCTATTATTAGTTATTCAAAATTACGAATTATTAAAATCCTTTCATACCAAGACTGGAACCAACACCCTTTCACTGGTAAGAGCTTTTGGAGGCCCTTTGACCCCCCTGCTTATAATTATTTTGATTACCAAGAAGCCTGGAATAAAATATTATTTGATACAAACCCTAGGCATTCATGGTATATCTGTTTTAAAAAAGAAGTATCCAACACCCTACCAAACTGGTTTCTCGATTGGTTTCATCAAATAGGCCTAGTCCAATCCATAATTCTAGAAAAAATTATGAAAATATACCAAAAATATAAAAGTCTTACTTCCCATTACCCTCCACACCTAAGAATCATAAAATTTTGCTCTACTATGGGAATAAGTTGGCTTTTGGCCCACATTCCCAAAATTTATCAACACAAAGAAGAAACCTACCCCGAAAACTCTCTACTTAAAAACTAAGGTTTTTTGGTGGAAAAAAAATTTGAAACTCAATACGTAGAAGAAAAATTTGAAAATTGAAAAAAAAAATGGGCCTTATTACACAAAAAAAACCCAATCCAAAAAGAAATTTCATCCATAAAAGAAAAATGAAAAGTCATTATAGATTTATCCAAACTTCCCGCATCAAAAGAAGAAAAGACCCAATTAAAACAGAAAATGCTCGAAGTACTGTCTTCACTAGGCTCAGATGAAGAAGAAGAAGAAAAAAGTGAAGTCATTATCAACCTACAAGATGCTCAAGATCCCTACGAAGATGAAGAAGATATTGACTTTGCCCAATTTTAGCAATCAATTCTAGAAGAATTAAAGAAGAAGATTACTACTATTATGCAAAGAACATCAACCAAAGAAAAGTTACAAAGAAAGATTAATCAAATTATGAAGAAATTAGAAGAAGATCTTTAAGAACTCACCTTCTAAACAGTATCTTAGTAAGAAGTTGAGCTTATTTGACCCATCGCCCAACAGATGCTATGGTCCCATACCCCAGAATATGGTCCCACACCTCATAATAGAGTATCCAAGTAAGCATTTGGACCGATTTGGTCCTTCGCCCAAAAGATGCTTGGGTCCCACCTAGTTGAAAAACAAATTACTTGTAATTATTCTATTTTGGTTTTTAGCGTCGGCCGCCGAAAGTAAAAACGTGTCAATTGTAATTATTTTCTTTGTCGGTCACTCTTGTTTAAAGTGTGTCAGTTGTAGTCCTGAATAGTGGAGCACTTATGCCTATAAAAGAGTTAGTTGTTGAAGTAACATTTACAGCTTTTCTCGAGTCTTAAACTCTACCTATCTCAGCCAACCCCTTCATAGCCTAAGTTCTCAGTCTTCCCTTACCCTTGAATATCTTGAATATTGTAAGCTTTCTTTGATAATCTTGTAATAACATTTCTGTATTTCTTCATCCTTCCGCTTTTATATGCTGGTATATATATATATATATATATATATATATATATATATATATATATATATATATATAAATAATATGAATACTTATGTAAAAAGTATGATCCACCTAATATATTTCTTTTCATTTCTAAAAAACATTTTAAAAATATTTAATAAAAATAATTTCACAATAAAAACGTTTACAATAAATTTTAAATTGTTTTGGAAATATCAATATTAATAAATCTTATGATATGATATTTTAGAATGAATAATCTAGAATCGTGACAATCAATTCGGATTATGCATTGTGTAATTCACATCTCACAATATATTTTTTCTAAAATGCTTTCAGAATATGTTAGCTTTTTTTTTAATCCATTTTAAGATAATACTTTTTGGAAATTGTACAAATTTCCTGAGATTATTTTCTTATCCTATGTAAGAGGTGGTGTAGAGTGAAATTCGAAGGTGGAAAAAGCAAATATCTCTATTATTTTTTAAAGATCCGAAATAAAACAAATTGGTTATGCCTTCAAACACCCAATAATGATGGGCCGTGGAATAATTCTGGAATAAGTTTGTAAGAGGATTCTGTTATTTTGACAATAAATATAAGTGACTTCTTTTCACACTTTAATAATTTCTTTTGCACCTTCATAATATACATAAAATATAAAGATGTCTTTATGATAATTTTTTTCTCTTCTACATCACATCTCATTATCAGCCTCTGCACCTGTGTTTGTTTTACTTCCTACACCTTTAAGTATTATTTTTAGTTTAAGATTAGAAATTTGTTGGTGCTTTAAATAGTATAATATGTTGTGTAATTAAAAATCTCGTAAAAAATATATTTAAATTGTATTTTTAATGTTTTGGATGGTTGAATCTATAATATATTTATGAAAATATAATTTAAAAATAAATTCTAGATAAACTAATCCTTAGATTGTATTTTCTAAAAATAAATTATAATTTATTAAATTTGGAATATATTTTTAGAAAATACATTTTAGATATAGGTTTTAGAAAACACAATCTAAAATTCAGTTTTATATTGTGTTTTTCAAAAATATATTTTAAAAATTTTCTAGAAATTTTTAGAATCAGTTTTTTTTAGAATATATTTTTAGAAATATTTTTCAAAACCTACCATCCAAAACTCATTTCAAAATGATCTTTTCAAAACATATTTAAATTAAGTATATAATAAGATCATTTTAGATAAACGTTGGGTACAAGAAGAAAGTATGGGGTGCAGAGAGAAACACGCTAAATATACCACACAAAAATTAGTCCAATTGAGAAAAAACAAAAATAAAATTACAAAAGACTAAAACAAAAAGAAAAGCTGTGAGATATTTTGTTTAGAAAAATCGACTATTCTGAGCAATATAAATAAGAGTGATGCATTACCGTTTTATTTTTCTTTTTTTTATTAAAATATTAGACAACTGTTAATATATTTTATAGTGTACTTAATGAGGTAAATGTGTATTAATATATAATTTTTATTTAATTATGGTTTGTTTTCGTAATATCATAAATTGACCTCATTGATAAATATTGTATATCATCAATTGAGTTGGATAATACACATACCTTTTTTTTAAATAGCAATTAATTTAATAAAAACTAATTAATACATAGAAATACTATCATTTTCCTGCTACTAAGATTTGCATTTTCTATTTTTCTTTTCAATAATTTTTAATTATTCTTATTCAACAGTGAAACTCAATACAAAAATTATATAAAGCAAAACAAAACAAAAATTTTATGAGAAACAAATGAAAAAAATATATTCAATATAAACAGTAACATATAAAAAACATTGGAGATGAAAAATACACTTATAAATCTTACTCAATACTTAATAGATAATTCATCACTTCAACATATGGCATTTAATTTGGCAAATTAATAGGAGAACAAAATATTAAAGCCTAAAATTTTAAAAGCAACTTTTTCACTGTCATAATTTCTTATTTTCGTAATCTTCTTATACAAGAAGGAAAGACATATATAATAATTTTTCTCAAATCAAACACAACCTTGACAACCTTATAAGTTCAGTATCGAGTCCACAGAGAAAATCCTTTGATTAACCAATTCAGAAACATAATAATTACAACAATAAGAATCCAGGAAATGTGGTAGGTCTCACATCAGTATTTTACCAGCTACCTTCTATGTCAGTATTCAGACACAAGGTAAAATAAGCATACATACACCGGGTAAATTCAAGCAAAATATAGATTAATCGACAAAATAGAACGTAAAGTATCCTATTCTATAAATTGTATAACATACAATGATGATGAATCTGGGTAGAAGAAATTAACTTAATCTGAAAGATTATGATCAGACATAGATACCATACTGTTTACACGAACTTCTGTAAGAGATGCAACAATATTACAGTATCTTGTTGGCCACGAAACAGCATTATTCACTTCACATATTGCCTTTGCTTAGGGTCTGCCCCGCCTCAAGCTGCATGATGGACATTTGTATTGCTTTATACTCTCAGCTTTTGCAGGAGTAATCTTCACACATTTACCATGGAACCATCTCTCACATATATCACAGCCAATCCAAAACTCATCTGCATTGTAATTTCCGCCACAGCTCCCACACAGGGTTTCACTATGCTCGTCATCCTCCTCTTCATAACCTTCATCTGCGAACTTCGGGTTGCTTTTAACTTGCCCATCACTTGATCTCTGCAGAAAAATGAACAAGCAAGAATCAGATAGCAACATGGCAAGGTTTAGCCACTGCAAAACCTTTAATTCAATGTCTTAGACGTATTTGCAACATGAAACAGATACCATGATCAAAGGCTTTGTAAAATACAGTCCATTTATTCACTCACATTGCAATTTTTATCATCATAATGAAGACAGAGAAAAATATAATTGTGGGTGCAACAGTGTGATAGATTCTGTACTTTGGTTCCACAAAAAGATTAAGATCCATAAACTCTAAAGGCCTGGTTTAGTTTTTGACCTTCTCAAAGCAGCTACTGGAACTTAAAAAAAATTAAAAAAATCATAAACAAGTCAATGATTGTGTTTGATATTGTTAATTTTGTGTTTAATTTATTTAGAGCGTAAGCACGAAAAAAAAGAATAGTCTAATAATTTTAGAAGATATAATGATATTGATAGATTTACTTTCCTTACAAACTTTTGGAACGCATGAGCATAACCTAACCATGAATGAGTACGAACCAACTAAATCAGATGATCCCACCAGAAAAAGAATAAATAAAATTCACATACTAACAACAACACTAACCTTCGTGCTGCCCCTAGATTTGCTTCCACTGTCTGCAGTGGGCTTGTCCTTTACTGGCTTCCTCTCAGTCACAACTTCAAAAACAGTAGGAAGCTCATTGATCAAGCTAAACAAACGTTTCCTGCCATATAGAATTCATGGAATCATCAAAAGAAAGTAGGAGTTATAAGCTCGTTTTAGAGCAGATGTTGAGGAAAAATGAGAACGGGAATTCTACAAAGGAAAAACTCCCAAAAACTGAAGCAACAACATGTACATATTCTCCTATATAAAGAATCAACTAAACTCCGTTCATATATTTTCCTTAAGTATCTTCAGGCCATATAATCCATCCCCTTTGCAGCTCAAAATTTGTAAGTGGGAAAGATAAACACGATTGCAGAAAGATAAGTCAGTAACAAATTGATTCAAAATAATTGGTGAGTAAAAATATAAAGCTTAAATTGCAGAGTAAGAAATCACAGAAGCACAATGATCATTCCTCTCACCAACCTCAAATTCATGATTCGTTTTCCTCATTTGTTTACTTTTTGGATGAGAAGGGAATCTAGAAGATAACATTGCCTTAAGATACATGTCATACAGGGAATGTGTTTGCATAAAATAATTCAGAATCACAACAGTCCACAAATAAAGTACATTCATTCCCAGTTAATTAAAAAGCCATTATTTCTTATCCATCCATCATGATACTAATGCATTTCAGAACCAATTACAACAACAAGCCCCAGTTTTCAATATTCAACACAGCACTTAACCAGCAGCATTGCACACGCAGAGCAAAAACCAACTTAAATCCTCACCGCATGCTCAAAGCAAAGGTAGAGAGTACCTTTCATTGCGGTTAAGACGAGCTCCAAGATAAAAAGCCACAGAAAGCAACCACGAATCACTGTGCACAGCAACCAGAGAAAGCCAGTCCCTGCGGTTCATGCCATCCCTAGCAAAATTGATTCCAAGCGCAGGCTCTGGAAGCTCAGGCGGTACTTCTTCCGCTGGCAAAGTCACCTCCCAAGTCTCATTCGGATGTCCATAGAGGCACAAGTTCTCCTTATCTTAAAACAACCAAACCAGTAAATCCTTGAACTCAATGAAACAATACACAAATTGTAATCGTCATAAAAAACTGCAACAATTACCACATCTAATTCAACCAGTTAGTTACGCACATATCAAATTCAAACCTCACAAAATCCAAAACCCAATGTGTCACATAACAACAAACCCAACCCAAGTCAACCTCAGCCTTTTCAAAATTTACCCGATTAGCAACAGTCATACACTGCTTAAGTGTTTAACACATCCACAAACTAAGAATCCAAAATCAACTTAAATCACTAACTGAAAATTAGTTTGTTAACCATTTTACATATATTAAAAACAAATAATACATTTTATATTTATTTATTTGTTATAAAACATGTGGGACGGGACATGTCAAAGTTTGACTTTATTTTATTATACGCTTTTCCCCTAAAACTCTCAGAAAAGAAAAAAGTCAACTTGTTCAATTTACACAGAAACGAAAAATACCCAATTGGAAAATCAGTGAAAGAAAACAGTTTCGAACGTAAAGTGGAGGATAAAAAACAAACAGAATTCAGATCCGCGGGTTCTCTGTACCTGGATCACAGAGTCCGTAGAATTCATCGACATCTGAGAGAAGAAAAAGCGAAAAAAGAGTTAGGACGTTGAGTGAAATTGGAAGGGAAAAAACGAAGTTAGAGAGAGAGAGCACCTTGAGAGAGAGCACGAACGATGGCGATTCTTCTGGCGGTGTAATCCTTGAAGATCTCTTCGACGGTGCGGGGAGTCGAAGCCATTTGCATGAAAGGAAGGAGCAATTGAGATCTGAGGCGAAGGTTCTAGAAGGCGCGGCGAGGGTGCAGGGGCGAGACCATGGGAAGGGATCGTAGGGATCGCGGGTGCATGTGATGTTGTTACGGACAGAGAGAGAGATTTTGGAATTTGGAGAGGAAAATAATAAATACCACAACAGACAGAGTGAAGCACTGTGTGTCTGCGTGTCTCTGTGAATAACGCTATTATAAAAATTATTATTATTATTATTATTATTATTATTATTATTCTAATAATATTTTATTACACTACAACAATATACATTTTATTTTATATATATTTTATGTTGTATACAATTATAAATATATTCCGTGATTTACATTTTACACACCATCTCAAATTCTTCTAGATGAAAAAAAATGCAAATATATTGTAATTTTTTAGACTTTTTAAACAATTCTAAGTTAAATAACTTGAATGTTTCATGCATGACTAGAAATTCTCGTAAATGACCGAAAATTAATAAATTCATGTAAATGTCAAAGAATATTAAAATTATTGTAATTACAATCTTTTAAAATTATTCTAAATTTAATCATGCTCAACGTTTAACTATTATTAGTGTTTCAATTATTAATTTATGGTTAAATTAATTATTCTCTAGAACTTTGTATAAATAAAGTTGGGTGAACTTTATAATGGAGTTCAAGATATAACAGAAAAAAACAAATTGAATTGCACAATGTTAAAAGAGAAAACAAAACAACTCTAAAATTAACTAATAGATCTTAATACCCGTTCAATATTGGTGAGTTGGGAATGAAGGAGGAATTTTAATAACATCCTAAAATGGCAATGGGTCATTTATTACCTAGTAAATTATTTCCAATTGCACCCTATGCCTTGGCAAAGTCAGAAACCATTGCCCAACTAGCTCCACATATATCCAACCTATTGGCCTTAAAAAAATGCCATTTTTCATGTTGGAAACTCATTTTATCTAAAAAACCAAAGAAGCATGAGTTTTGTGTAGGAGAGAAAGTTGGTGTCTTGGCTGCAACTTGTGCTCAAAGATAGGAGTAGCCATTGCCAACTCAACTAAAAGGAGAGCATCCTAGGATTGCATACCAACCTATGTCAACAACCTAAGATGTATATGGAGCGAGGGTTTCCCTTTTTCTTTTTCTTTTTCTTTTTCTTTTTTTAATGTTGGCATTATGACTTGGTCATAATGTTGGTGTGTTAGATTTTGTGACACTTTCTTGAAGAGTGAAAACACGTGTGTTGTGAAACCTTGTTATCTCTTTAGAAAGTTTTAGTCTTCTCTGCTGTGAATATTTTTCATGTACATGATAAAGTTTTCAATGACTAAAAAGAAGAGAATTGTGTTTGATGATGTTATGTGATGATATAAGTATATTTTGATGCTTGAAATGCATAAATATAAAATAATATATATTTGTGAAACTTGGACAAACTTGAAATTATTACACATGAATATAGATGAAAATATTATTTAAAGATATTTAAGAACAAATTAATCAATTATATTATAAAATAATTTATTATTTTGTGGAGAACTAATTTAAAATTTTGGAGGTACAAATAATTGGTGATAATAGATTATTTTGGACATGTATGGTATATCCTTTTGAATTTAATAGACTATTCTTTTAAATAATCAAGTATTTTTTTATCAAGATAATCAATTATCTTAAAATATAATTGATTAATTTAAATAATAATAATAATAATAATAAAGTTTTATGATAGTTCCAAACTGTCAGGTGGGTCACCAATTTATTAGGTACATACTGACTAAGTTAAAAAGAATATGAATATGTTTATTTATGTGCTACTGACCCATTCTAGGATTTATCTTTATTTGTATCTGACTCCTTTAGGGTAAAGAGAGAACAGAAGACAACAAGACAGAGAAAAAAAAAAGGTTATGGTGAGTTACAAAAAAAGTCACCACTTAAATAGAAGAAGAATAACTTCGTGCAGATAAGCTAGCTCGGAGAAAAGGTTCTATTGTTCTCATTACTTTGTATTTGGTTCTCTATTGTCTTCTTAGATATCTGTTAGAGTTATTTGTTATCCACCTTATTGAAGAGAAAGTGTTATGTTGATCCTTGCCGGACTAGGTCCCGTGGGTTTTTCCTTCGCACTGAGGGTTTTGCATGTTAAAACTTGGTGTCTTCTTATTTCTTGATATTCTATTTTTCGTGCACACTATCATTTATCTATTACTTAATATTTTTGGAGTCTACTGTCATTTATACAGGGAGAAGGAAATTTGGATTTTGCTTTCATTTGCTATAATTTTGGTATCTTCCCCAATAATTGGTATTAGAGCTCTGGTTATGGGTTATGGTTTGTGCTCTAAAATGGGAGATAGTGATAATGCTGGAACTATGATTAAGTTGGATTCTTCCAACTCAATATGAAAATCTCGAATGGAAGATTTATTATTTTGCAAAGACCTATATGATCATATTGAGAGAAATGTATTAAACCAAATGATAAATATGAAGGAGATTAGAAGAAGTTAAATAGGAAGATTATTGGTATGATTAGACAATAGATAGACCAATATGTTTATGATCATGTGTCTAGTGAGACTATGACTTATAACTTATAGAAGAAATTAAGTGAGTTATTTGAGTCTAAAAATTCCTTGAATAAGACATTTCTGATTAAGAAACTTGTAAATTTGAAATACAAGGATATTTTCTCTGTGGCTGAACACTTGAGCCATTTTCAAAATATGGTGAATCAATTAATCACCATGGAGATTGAGTTGGATGATGAGTTATTTGCATTGTTGTTACTTAGCTCATTACTAGACAGTTTGAAGACATTAGTGATATCTTTGAGTAATTATGTTCCTAATGGAAAGTTGACTTTTGACATGGTAAATGATAGTCTTTTAAATAAAGAAACCAGGAGGAAAGAAAGTTTTCAAGTTAACTCCCCTACTCAAAATGAAGTTATGGTTTTGGAGTCAAGAGAAAGAAATCAATATAAAAACTCTCATAGATTTTATGACCGTAAAAAATCAAGAGGAAAATCCAAAGAAAAAAAATCACATGTTTCAATTACAATAAATCAGGAGATATGATTAAAGACTACAAGCTCCTCAAGAGAGAAATATCAAGAGATAAAGACAAGATTAATAATAATAATAGAGAAGATAGAGATAAAGACAATAATGCAGTTGTATATGATGGTGAAGTTGTTATTATTTATGATGATGAATTTGTTAATCTCACCTGTCAAGAGTATGAATGAGTTGTTGATTCTACTGCCTCATTTCATGTTACACCTCATCATGAATATTTCACATCCTACATTGCTGGAGATTTTGGGCATGTGAAAATGGGAAATCAAGGAGTAAGCAAAGTTGTTGGCATTAGAGATATTTGGATAGAAACTAATATCGGATGCAAGTTTGCATCTAAAGAATATCAGACACATACCTGATATATGCCTCAACTTGATCTCAATACAGGCACTTGATGAAGATGATTATCATAACTATTTTGGTGATGGAAAATGGAAGTGGACTAAAGGAACATTGGTGGTAGCAAAAGGAGAGAAGCGAAATACTGTACATTGGACATCAACAAAGTTGTTTACACCTCAAGTAAATGCAATTGAAGATTGTTCTACAGAATTATGACATAAAAGACTTGATCACTTGAATGAAAAAGGGTCTTAATACTCTTGCAAGTCATGGGTTACTTTCTTTTAAAGGAACATCTCTTGAAACTTATTCTGATTGTCTTATTGGTAAACAACATAGAGTTTCCTTTCGCAGTTATCCTCCATGTAGAAGACCACATATCTTGGATTTAGTTCACACGGATGTTTGCTCTATGGATGCTAAATCAATCAGTGGTTGCATTTATTTTGTTATTTTTATTGATAACCATTCTAGAAAGGTTTGGGCTTTTGTTTTAAAATCCAAAGACCAAGTACTTGATGTGTTCAAGCATTTCCATGCAAGTGTTGAAAGAGAAACATGAAAGTTGTTGAAATGTGTTAGAGCAGATAATGGTAGTGAATTTAGAGGTCCATTTGAGTACTATTGCAAGGAGCATGACATCAAACTTGAGAAGATAGTTCGAAAGACCCCTCAACATAATGGAATTACAGAGAGAATGGATAACACAATTAATGATAGAATCAGGTGCATACTCTCTCATGCAAAGTTGCCTAAAGCCTTTTGGGTTGAGACATTAAGAACTGCAGTGGACTTAAGCAACCTATCTCCATCCATTCCTCTTAATGGTGATGTCCCTAAGAGTGTGTGGAAAGAGAAAGATGTTTCTTATAATCATTTGAGGGTATTTGGTTGTAAAGTATTTGTCCACGTCCCTAGAGATGAAATATCTAAGCCTGATGGAAAGTCTAAACAATTTGGGTTATGGTCATGATGATTTTGGTTACAAATTGTGGGATCCGGTTAATAAGAAGATTGTTAGAAGTTGAGATGTTGTTTTTCTTGAAGATCAGACCATTGAAGATATTGGCAAGAAAGAAAAATGAAGACATATTTCTCCTGAGTGCATTGATGTTGAGCTTGAACCTCCTACCAGTGTTATTAATCATGGAAGAGATGTGAATGCAGATTTGGAGAATGTAGATAATATGTCTGAGACTCAAGCCAATGAACCAACTGAATCAATTCTTCCTAAACCTCCTATGGAACCTTAGTTGAGAAGATCTACTAGAGAGATTCATCCTTCTAAAAAATATCCACCTCATAAGTTTGTGTTGTTAAATGATGGGGGAGAGCCTGAAAGTTATGAAGAAGCTATGTTACATAAAGAGAAAGACGAGTGGTATAAAGCCATGCAAGAAGAGATGAAATCCTTACATGAGAATCACACATTTGAGTTGGTGAAGCTGCCTCAAGGCAAGAGAACACTTAGAAATAAATGGTTGTTCAAACTAAAACCAGAGGAGAATACTCATAGCCAAGATATAAAGCAAGGTTGGTGGTGAAATGATTTAG